GGGGGGGCAGCGGGGCGGAGCGGGCGGGGCCGGGGCGGCGCCGGGCGAGAGGAGCACCGCGATGACCATCGGCGGCCCCCGCGGCCGGCACCCCCGCCTCCAGATGCCCTGTCTGCGCAAGGTGAGCCGCACGGGCACCGGCAGCCGCCCCGCGGGGACCGGGCACGGCTCCGGGACGGGCACCAGCGCGGCGGAAACGAGGCACCGCCAGCGTGGGGAGCGGGCACGGCGGGCACCCGCGTTGGGACTGTGGGGATCGGGCACAGCAGCGCGGGGTGGGGGTACCAGCGCACCGGGCACCGGCACCGTGTGGGTCGCGTACCGGGCGCTGGGACTGTGCAGACCGGGGCACCGGCACCGTGTGGGCCGGGGACGGGGCGCTGGGACCGTGGGGACCGGACACTGGCACTGCACTGGGTTACGAGGGCACCGGGGCCGCCGGCGGCGCGGGCATGGCCGGGGACCAGCACGGCTCAGCATACCCGGGACAGCGGGCACCGGGAGCCGCCCCCAGGGAATACCCGCGGGCAGCGCCCCGGAGCGGCGTGCTCTGCTCGGGCTGGAGTGCTGCCAGAGCCCGGCAGAGCTCACTCCCCAAAACCGGGGTTCCCGGGGCCAGGGATGCCCCGAGGAGAAGTGTCTGCAGCTCCAGCACCGCACGCCCGCCCGGCTGTTGGGAGCCTCGGTCAGGCTGTGGCATGCCAGGCTGTCCCCGGGCTGGGCACAAGGTGCCCTGGGGCGTTGCTCAGTTCCAGGCTGTGCCCAGGCTGGGCACTGGGTGCCCCAGTCGGGTTCCGGGGACCTGGGCTGTGTCCAGGTCACAGCGTGCCCGGGGTCACCGTGGGGGGAGCCCGGCTGTGCCCAGGCCCGGAGCCGCCGTCGCGGGGCTGAGCACAGCGGTTCTTTGCCCGGCAGATGGAGCGGATGATCGTCAGCATGCAGGACCCCGACATGGGCATCAAGATGAGGAACCAGCGCTTGCTCATCACCGTCATTCCCCACGCCATGACAGGTGTGTCCCCGCCATGGGTCCCCGCGAGGAGCGTGGGGAAGGCGCGTGGGAGCTCCCCGGGTGTCCCCAGCCCTGCAGCAGCGGCCACCGCCGGCCCCGCGCCCTCCTCTCCCCGCACCCCGTGCTCAGCGCTGCAGCTGGGATCAATTATGCATCGGCTGCGCGGGGCGGGCGCTTGCACGTCCTTGGCAGGGCCCCCGTCACCCTGCGTGACCCCTGGCACTGCCAGGCTGTGCCAGACACTCCAGTGGAGAATCCCCCCACATCCAGTCTGGGGAACCCCTCTGCCCCCCACTAACGCAGCCTCCGTCCCTAGGGAACGACATCGTGGAGTGGCTCATCCAGAAGTACGGCATCTCCGAGGAGGGTGAGTGCCCTGGCACAGGCAGCTGGCACCGGGGGGCGGCTGGGGCTGCCGAGCCTCCACGCAGCCCCCAATCCCGTTCCGCAGAGTCGCTGCACCTCGGCAACCTCATCGTGAAGCACGGCTACATCTACCCGCTGAGAGACCCGCGCAGCCTGGTGCTGCGGGCCGATGAGTCGCCCTACCGCTTCCAGGTACCGCCGCACCGGGCACGGCACGCCCAAAGGCCGGGCTGCCCGGCCGGGCACCGTGGCACCCCAGGGCAGCTCCTCAGCCTCTTCCTCCCCCACAGACCCCCTATTTCTGGACCAGCACCAAGTGGCCGGCCACGGAGCTGGACTACGGTAGGTGCCGCCGGCACCGGCAGGGGCTGCGACCCCTCCAGCCCCCTGAGCGCCGCCGCCTCCCTTGCAGCCATTTACCTGGCCAAGAAGAACATCCGCAAGCAGGGCGACCTGATCGAGCACGAGAAGGTGAGCGGTGCCCTCCGCACAGCCGCGATGCCCTGGGGCAGTCTCGGCTCAGCCAGGAGCGCTCCCGCGGCCGGGGACACCGGCTGTCCCCGCGCCGGAGCCGGGCAAGGGGACAGGGGCCGCACCGCGCCCACCTGTCGCCCCCCAGGACAACTACAACCTCCTGCACAAGCGGATCAACCACACGTGGGACTTCGTGGTGATGCAGGCACGGGAGCAGCTCCGGTGAGTGCGGGCACGGCCGGCACCGCTGCGCCCGGGGAGCGGCCGGGATGGATGGAGCACCCCTGGGTGCCGGGCCCGCAGGGTGCCAGCACCTCCCCGCTGCCTCTGCATGGCCAGGGCAGCCAAGCAGCGGCGCAAGGGCGACCGCATCGTCATCGACTGCCAGGAACAGGCGTACTGGCTCGTCAACCGGCCCCCGGTGAGCGCGGGCGGCGGGGTCGGGCTGGCGGTGCAGCCCTGGCACCACTCACGGCCCCGGCCTGAGCAGTAGGGCTGAGGGGTGCAGGGGGTCCCCCCAGCCCCCAGCATGATGCTGTCCTTGCAGCCAGGAGCCCCTAACGTGCTGGAGCAGGGCCCCGAGCGCAGGAACTGCCACACCACCCGTGTCCAGCTGGTGAGTGGGGCTGTCCAGGCACCCCTGGGGCAGCCAGCGGGCACAGGGCACGCCCAGTGCCTGTGCCGGGCTGAAGAGCTGCCCCGGTGGGTGCCCACCCATTCACCCCAGGCTGTGCCCACATTTTGGGGTGAGGGGTTAGCCCCAGTTCTGCTAACATCCGTGTGTCCCACACCCCGAGCAAGGAGGGTCCCTGTGTTTGTCCTTGCACCCAGCACCCCTCTGTGCCAGCACCTCTGATCCCTGCAGGGCAGCTGTGCTGCACCCTGGGGTGCCAGCAGCAGCCACCAAGCCCTTCCTTGTGCTGTGACCCCACTAATGCTGCCCCAGCACCCCCAGGCTGTCCTCACTAACCACCCACTTTCTCTTCTCTGCGCCGTGCTGTGTCCTCTGCCCACGTAAGTGTTACTGACCTAGGGCTGGTGTCACACTGGGGGGTGGAGGGGGACGCCAGGGTTCATTCCATGGGCTGAGCTGGCTGAGCCAGGAGGGCTGGGGGAATGAGGCCAGAGGCCACAGGTGTGGGATGCAGGGTCCCAGGGTGGGGACTGGGTGCCTGGATTGTGCAGGGTGGTGGTGGCAGGACAATGTCCCGGCCCCACCGTGCCCTCACCCAGCCCTGTGCGTCTCTTGCAGACCAAGAACATGGATTACTACAAGCGAGAGGTGAGTGGGGCGAGGGTGGGGGCAGCTCCTGGGGGGCACGAGCTGCCAGGCACCCCAACATCTCCCCTGCGCCTGGCCCCAGATCGAGTACTGCAGGAAGGCCATGGCCAGGACCAGGGTGAAGTCCTCCATCTGCCTTGAGGGGTGAGTGCCAGCAGCTGCCCCAGGCACGGCTGGGTCCCTCAGTGTGACAGGGGCACCCACATCCCAGCAGCTGGTGCTGACACCCCAGCCCTCAGCAGGGAGTGGAGCTGAGGCTCTGCACAGCTCGGGCACATCCCCACCTCATCCCCATCATGGCCCCGTGGTGGCTGGGGCTGGTGGCCCTGGTCTCCTCCAGCCACCGCTCCTGGCAGGTACATCAAGTTCAACGAGCAGTATGTGCCCCACGACCCCATCATGTCCGGCTGCCTGCCCAGCAACCCCTGGATCACGGATGACACCACGTACTGGGCCATGAATGCCCCCACGTAAGCGCCCCAGCCCCAGGAGCCCCAGAGCCCCAGTCTGCAGGACAGGCTGGTGGGGGCTGTGGGGTCATGCAGGCTGCCATGGGCTGCCAGCCCCAATGCTACTGTCACCCACAGAGTGACAACTCCCACAAAGCTGCGCGTGGAGCGCTGGGGCTTCAACTTCAGTGAGCTCATCAACGACCCCCTGGGCCGGACACAGCTCCTGGAATTCCTCAAGAAGGAGTTCAGTGGTGAGGGGGCCCAGCTCCAGCCCAGAAACACCTCTGTCTAGGCAGCCCAGACCCTGACCCAACACCACCAAACCCACCATGTCCCAGTAGTGCCTAATCCACTGCCCAGTCCCAACACCATGAAACCAACCCATTACCATGTCCTGCCATTCCTCAGCCCAACACCACGTCCCAGTACCTCCCAGCTAATCTGCCCCAGTTTCCCTGGTTCCACTGCCCCAGCTGCCTCTGTCCCATGGGGGCACATGCCCACCACGGTGGCCTTTGGGGGTTGCCCACGAGGGGTGCCCAGTGCTGTGTCCCCATTCCCAGCACTGTGTCCCCCTCCCCAGCTGAGAACCTGAGCTTCTGGGAGGCATGTGAGGAGCTGCGCTACGGGGAGCAGTCCCGCATCGCCGAGATCGTGGACTCCATCTACCAGTGGGTGCCAGGGGCTCTGCAGGGAAGGCTGGGGGCGGTCAGGCCATCACGGGGCTCTGCCCCGGCCGGGGCCGGGCTCACCGCCCTCCGTGGCTCCCCAGGCAGTTCCTGGCTCCCGGGGCCACGCGCTGGGTGAACATCGACAGCAAGACCATGGAGCGGACCCTGGAGGGCATCAAGACGCCCCATCGCTACGTGATGGACGATGCCCAGATGCACATCTACATGCTGATGAAGAAGGTGGGTGAGGGCGGGGCTGGGCAGTGCGGGGCTGGACAGTGCAGAGCTGGGCAGTGCAGGGCTGGGCAGAGCTGGGCAGTGCAGGGCTGGGCATTGTAGTGCAGGGCTGGGCAGAGCTGGGCAGTGCAGAGTTGGGCAGTGCAGAGCTGGGCAGTGCGGGGCTGGGCAGTGCGGGGCTGGGCAGGATCCTGACGTCCCTGCTCGCCCAGGACTCCTACCCACGCTTCCTCAAGTCGGACCTCTACAAGAACCTCCTGGCCGAGGCCATCATTCCCCCGGAGACCAAGAAGCGGTGAGGGCAGGGGCCGTGCCCTGGGGCCACCAGGGGAGGTCCCCGGCGGTCCTGACCCCGTTCTGCCCGCAGGGTCTTCCCCTTCATGCGCAAACAGCGGCACTCCAGCCCCAGCCCGGCGCTGCTGCTGCCGGCGGGCGATGCCGAGGAGAGGAGCAGGAGCCCTTCCACCGCGCCCGTCCCCGAGGAGGAGAGCTGAGAGCCGGCAGCGCCCCGGCCCAGCACGCCCAGCCCCGCCGCAGGACCCTGCCGGCAGTAGCACTGAAGGAGAGAAGCCATAACCCCCCCAGGCCCCCCGAGCCAGGCTGGCCCCGCCGCAGCCCCGCTCACGTCCCCACACCCTCCTCTCCCCCGGGGAAGCCGCACCCAGCCGGCCTGGTGCGGGGTCACCCCTCCTGCCGCCCCCCGCCCGGGCACCACGCAGTAAAACCCCTCGGGAAACACCGCTGGCTGCCGTGCTTTGTGGGGAGCGGGGCAGGGTGGGATGGGCAGGGTGGGATGGGCACAGGGCGCTGCCCGCTTGTCCAGGCTGGATTGTGAGCTGCACTCTGGGCTGGAAGGGACATCCTCCCACGCCTGCAGCAGCCAGCAGCGGGGCAGAGCCGGGAGGGGACCAGCCGTGTGCCCATGGCACAGCCAGCACCCACGGATCCACTTGCTGCGAGGGCAGTGCCAGCCTGGCACGGCTGAGAGCACCCAGGCCTTACTGGTGTGCCACCCACACCCTGGGAGGGACAAAAGGGCCTCTGGAATGGGGCTGCCCTGTGGCTGGCAGAGGCACCAGGAGCAGGGCTGGCAGCTGAGCCACTCTCCTGTCCATGGACTGTTAATCTGAGCACGGCAGGATTATTCCCTTCCCGGGAGCACAGCCCCAGCTGCAGAGGATTATCGCTGTGGTTACATAAAGGAGAGGGGGGCTGATGCCCAGCAGTGCTCAGCCCTGGAGCCCAGCCTGCTCCACACGTCCCCACACGGCAGAGCTGGGCACAGCTCCAGCCCCAAATGGACAAAGGGGTGCCACGCTGTATCCCGGCTAACGAACACCAGGGATGCTGGGCACGGCGTCCTGCCCTGCCGCAGAGCCTGGCACAGAGCACGGGGCATTCTGAGCTCCGTGCTGGGCAGGCAGAGCCCCCCGGGGCAGGGGAAGCTGCTGGAGGCTCTGTCCCAGGAGGGAGCCTGGGCCTGGTGCTGGCAGCCAGGGGCAGTGACAGATGGCCCCGCGCTGCAGAGACAGCGCCCGCCACGCGTCTCCCTCCAGCTTGATCCAAATCCAAACCCCAGCATGAGATTTTAGTGCTGATGGACTGCAGAGGGAATCTGGGGTGTAAAACCAGGTCACAGAGCCCAGGTGGGGGGCAGGGATGGGCTGGCCCAGCCTCGTTATCTAACTCCAGCCTCTCTCCACGCGCTGCCTTTTCCTGGTCCATGACCTGCCTGCAGCAGGCAGCACCTCAGCCATCAAGGCATCACCAGCACTCCTGGATCCCTCCCAAGGAGGGGGGTTCTGCCTCGGGGAGGTCACTCAAAGGGCTGTCAAAAAATCCCAAAGTCTTGTGTAACCTGCAACATCAAAGCAGGGCACCATTTACAAACAATGCAAAAGAGGATTTATTGAAACCATTCTGGTTAGAGCAAGTCCTGTACGGCACAATTTGCAATAAGTTAAAGAACCAAACCAAAGAGACTCTGTTAAAAACCACACTAACACAGAACACAGTGATATAGCCATTGCCACCCAGCTGAGTTATTGAATCAAGGCACAAAGTCATTCATCAAATACTGCAAAAGAACAATTACACAGGAAACAAGCTGGAAACAGACTGGTTTTGTTAAGAAGGTGCTGGTTTGGCACTGATGCGTTTAATTGAGCTGCCACGGCGAAATCTGCGTTTCCAAACTGTCCAGAAATATTACTGGACAACTTAAAGCCAGGAAAGCTCCTCAAAGCTGAAAATCCAGCTCTCCTCAAGGAACATTCAGTGTGCCTGTGGGAAGGTCAGGTCTGGGTAGGGATCTGAGGAGGGAGAATATGATGAGAACACACCCAGGCATTCCCCTTGCTCCCAGGCAGGGGAATCTCAGCAGGAAACAATCCACACCCAGCACTCAGGCTGGGCTCCAGTGCAAGCCTGGGGTGCCCTGCCCTGTGCCCTGCCCCAGCTGGCTGAAGGGCAGCCTCAATCCAGCCCTCTTATGGCTGCAACACTGGCACAGAGACCTGGGGGCTGTCAGGCCTAAGGTGCTGAGCACAGAGGAAACCCAAGCTGGGGGACACAGCTGGGGAACCTCCCTGCACTCCTGGGCTCCCTCAGAAAACAGCTGGGCAGAGAGGCAGAGGGCAAACCCATCATTTTGAGGGTGCTTTGAAGGTTGTGGAGCACTCTGCAGAGAGCAGCCCTGGCTTCCAGCACAGCTGGACAGCCCAGGAGTGGCTCCCTTGCCTGCCAGGGACAGGGGAGACAGGGCAGCCTTCAGGCGCTGCCCAGGATATGGGACAGGGGAGACAGGGCAGCCTTCAGGCAGCCCCTGGGCAGCTGGAAGCAGGAGGTGCCCAGGCAGCCCAGCTCCCTGCTGTCAGCCTGGAGGGCTGGGGCTCTGCTGGGAGCTGGTGACAGCAGCAGCCCAGGGCACATTGGGGCTCAGCAGTGGCTGGAGGGAGGAGCTGGTGCCTGATGCTGCACAGGCCCATCCTACAGTGTTTCTACACATCCCCCAGTGTCAGACTCAGTAAGGGAGGGAGGCACTGGGCAACCACCCTCCAGCACTGCTGAGCTTGAGAGAGATTATTTTTAGGCCTAGTTTTTATTTTCAGGACTGAGTAGCTGGTTCTAACTGTTTCCAAGGCTCTGCACCTTGTCTCTAGAGCCTGCACTGGCACCCATCAGGACAGGGCAGAGCAAACACCTCAGGGTGCTGCATGGATCTCCAGGAGAAACATGTCACCTTCACACAGCAACCTGTCCCAGCCCCTTGGGACACCAGGCTGGGCAGAGAGCTCCAGGATCCTCACCCAGCATCACTTCAATTCCAAGGGCAGGGAGGCAGCACAGGGCTCCTGCCACCTCCTGGCAGCAGGGACAGTGCTTGGAGAAGGCTCCTCAGCAGCTGCAAGGCTGAAGGAGGAGGGTGCTGGCACTGCCACTTGGGTACAGGGCTTCCTAGAGCAGCAATCCCAGCTCCCAGAAAAGGTTCAAGTGCAATTCTACTCAAGCCAGATCCTCTGGTTCCTTAAACCTGGAGAGGTTTAAGGTGGTGGTACCTCCAGGGACCAGCCAGGCTGGCCTCAGGGTGGATCTCTCACCACCTATAAGCAGGCTGAGGGAAGGCAGGGACATTGATGCATCCATCAGGTGGGAGACCAGCTCCCTCTCAGTGCCACCAACACTGCACAGCCTGGCTGGGAAGGAAGCAGCAGAGGACACAGACACAGGCAGGCTGGCGACTGCAGAGTAGGACACATGGGGCTGTTCTTGGGAGCAGAGGCCATTTGCTAAGTAGAATGACACTTTAACCCGTGCTTTGCTGGCCCAAGTGACACCACACACCCACCACCAGCATGGCCCAAATCCAGGAGAGGATAATTGCAAATCAACTTGCAGCCAAGCACCTCTCCCCAGCCAGGAGAGCTGACTCAGAAAGGAACTCTAACATCACACAGCAAACTCCACTTCCCAGACATCCAACTCCACTTCTCAGCCATCCCAGAAGTCATCAATTCTGGCACCTCAGCAAGCACATGTTTTCCTCCAGACACACTCCTGAGTCAGCACAGTTCTGTGGGCACAGAGGGATGGAGGGGAAAGCCCTCCTCCCTGAGCTGATGACACTTCAGTGGTGGCCAAGCACTGAAGTCCCATCGGCTCTGAGGACGGACACTTGGCAGCTGCCCCCACAGCCTGGGTGTCCCTAGACACTGGGGGTGCTTCCCTGCCAGCCACACTTTGGTTTGTGGATCAAGAAAGGCAGCTTCCCGTGGGAATGCAGGCTCTGGGCTTGTTGAGAGCAGGGCTGCAGAGCAGGGGCAGCCTCCCCCCGTTCCCCGTCCAGCTCAGTCTCGGCTCTGGAATCGCATCCTGTAGAGGCGGTCCCGGATGTGCTGCTCCTCCTCCCCGGGCGTGCGGCGCAGCCAGATCACCCTGCTCACTGCCACATCCTCCTTCAGCTTCCTCTTCATCAGGGACACGGGGCCTGGCCCCTCGCCGGGCTGGGGGCCCCGCAGCAGCAGGTAGCAGGCGTGACGGCTCCGCTCGAACAGCGCCGCTGCAACACGGAGCAGGGTGCAGCCTCAGCCCGTGTGCCTGGGCTGCCACCAGCAGCACCTGGGCTGCCACCACCACAGGGGCCAGGAGGGACCAGTGTCCTCCTGCCCTGGGCTGCAAGGGGCTCACTCACCAGTGAACGCAATGATCTGGTCCGTGCTGTTGCGGAGCTCCAACAGGACATTCGTGTAGGAAGGATGGAAGAGGTACAGCTTCTGGAGAGGAGCTCTGGGTCTCTGCAACCAACAGGACACTATGAGGACACAGACTCACACGTTATCCCAGAGACAACAGCAGCACCAGGCTCAGCTATTGCTCACACTGGACAGGATACACCCAGCCAGCCACTCTGTGTCAGCCTGACCAATGCCATTAGGACAAGTGCTGGGATTTTGTTCACTGCTCTCCTTCCCACCCCAAGCTTCCTGCAGATAGCTGGCCTGTGTGCAGCAGGCAGGAGACAGATTTTTGCCTCAGGGCTGGCAGAGCAAGCAAGGAAAGCAGAGGAAGTTCAGCTGGTGCTTCAGCAGCCTCTGAGACACAAACTGTCACCAGTGCTGCCTGTCACTGCCCCGAGGACTCTGCAAGCAGCTGAGCTGTGCACCGAGGCTGCCTGGGGCACAGAGGATATTCACATGGCCACAGAGATCACTGCATGCAATGCTGCCATGGGAAGCTCTCAGAAAAACAGCAGCAACTCCAGAGATGCCAGGCCAGAAGCCTCCCACCTCACCTACAGTGCCACACCAAGGCAGGGCAGTGACTTTGCTCACAGAGCCACCGGTTTAATTTTCTCTACATAACCAAGCTGAGGATGACAAAAGCTGCCAGTGCCACCAGCACCTGCAGGGACACGGAGCCCACAGCCAGGGCATGAGGCTGCAGTGTCAGTGGCACAGACAGATGGGAATATCAACACTGAGACAAGGGGATAACTCCACCCAGCTCTGGCCAAAAGCCTGGAGAAGGGCAGCCCCCAGCAGCAGCACTCACTGTCTCATTGCCTGGCTCCTGGAAGTCTCCCCACATGAGGAAGGCAGAGCGGTGATCCGCAGTGGGAAGTGTGGCTGGGCCAGGGCTGCCTGCTCCCGAGTTCAGCTTCAGCTCCCACTGGACTGCTCCAGATTCACTCTCAACAATCACAACCTAGCAGGGAAGAAAGAAAAGGAACTCACGACAAAGGCAGCTCACAAGCCATGAGAGGGAAGTCAGGTCAGCTGTCTCTCCTCACACTGTCTATGGGAAAAAGTATGTGACACATGGGAAGATGAGGAAATATTTGAAACAGAGCATCACAGAGATGTGAGACCTGGGGTTGGCCATGTTAGAGTAAAATCACAAGTTTTACAGCTACTTCAAGGGATTCAAAGTTCTGTCATTGAAGCCTCTTGCTGAGAAGAGAATTAAAGTGCCTGAGCTGGCTTCAATAACCTGTTGAAAGAGATCCTTTCACAGCTTAAAGCTTCCTAAAATCAGCCAGAGGGAACACATCCCACCAACTGTCCTTGGCTCAATTCCTGCTTGAGTTGTGACATACAGAGAAATGGGAAGTTAAAAGGAAGACATTTCAAACCTTCTTGCTATTGGGTCCAATCTCACTCTCCAGGACAATACCATGGGCATCAGGTTTGTAGTACCCGAGCAGCGGCTCACTGAGGGAGAGAAAGAGCAGGGACAGATCTGAACCCACCCTGATGGCTGGGCACAGTTTGCTTTCCCAGTTGCCTCTATCCTCCCACACCTGCCCTGGTAAGAGATTTGACTGCATAAAATTGTGTTGGCCTGATACCACCCCAACCCTGAGCCCAGCCACATCACAGCAGGCACAAAATGAGGCAGCAAAGCTCTGAGCTCCTCCATCCTGAAGCAGCTCCCAGCATTTGAGGGGACACAACACAATAAGCAAGATCAAGATATGACCCAGGCAAAAAAAAAAGAATTGCATCTGCCAGGACATTGCTGTTGCTGGGAACCTGGAAAGGCCACACCTGGCCCACAGTGAGAACACTACCTCAAAACACGGGACACATTGAGGGTCCACACGGCGTGCAGATCTTTTGTGTTGATCAGTGTAGCCACCTCTGAGTCCACAACCAAGATGTTGTCCCGTGAGTGCCCAGGAACTGTTGCCAGGTAGTGAATGTTTTCAAATCTGAAGGACAGAGAAATGATTAAGCTTTTTAGGCCATGGATGGTTTTACTGTGAGGTTTGGAGTTTTTTCCCCTGCACAGTAAATCCAAATAAGAAACCTCAACGTGTTTTCTCTGCTTTTCTGTGAATCCCTGATGAAGCCATTACCACCAACCCTTGTCCTGAACTTTGGATGTGCTCCTAGTCCAAAAACCACATAGCCAGGAGAGAACAAAGTCCCACCAATCCTGACAGGAACACCAGCCCTCCCTCTCCACCAGCCTCCAAGACATAACCTCACACCTGAGAAGGGGTAAGAGGTGTGTGGCACGGTCAATGTGCTTCTCCCAGTGAGAATCCGGCTGGAAGTTGGGAAGCTTAACTTCCTCCCCAACTACTGTTCTGCACAGATCTTCCAGGGAATATGCATAGAGAGACTTCTCTGTGGAAAAATAAAAATAAAATTTAAAAAAAGGCAAGAATGAGAGAGATAAGTTATCCTGCCCTTGCTCTGAACTCTATGATTTTCCAGATCTGTCAGATCAACTATATTTTTAGGGTTTGCATCATAGAGTTGTAGTGGTATTTTGAGACTCAAGCCTGCTATTGAATGCTTTTAACATTTTATCTGTTCATAATCCAAGTGTTCCACAGTAATCATTTGCTATAAATGACTGCCTAATCCTTTCATGCTTGACATTTGTTAAATAAAATCACTACAGTACATAACAAACTGCAGTTTAAGCAGAAGCCCCCCCTTCTCTTCACTCTGAACAGTTCTCTGACGAGGTGAAAGCTCCACACAGCTTGTAAGAATGCAAAACATGCTCTCAGATGATGTTTACTACCCCTGATCTCAGCTACAATCACTCTTTCAGACTGAATTCCCAAGCAGAGCTGTACCTGTGTAGAAAAGGAAGTAGGAGGAGGAGGAGTGCAGCTGCAGCCTGACGTAGCGCGCGATGCCATCCACCCTCAGGCTGCCCGTGGAGCCAATCTGCTGGCCAGTCTTTCCTGAATGGATGAGGACCTTCACCTGCACAGGGAAGGGATTACAGGCAACAACCAACAAGGTTAAAGCTGGTACCAAACTGCAACTGAATGGGAGCAGCACAGGCTTGGATGGGAAGTCTCTCCCTGGTTTTGGAGGAGTGGGCATGAGTTTGGTGACACCTCTGCCCTGAATTCTTCTGGAAGTTTGAAAACCACTTCCAGCACAGCCACCTGCTCTGAGAATTTGCTACGCCTGTCACCCACCCTCCTTACAGACTGGGACTGTGGAACAGCAGCCCCAGCTCTGTAAGGACAGCAAAGATCCATGCAAGCCTAAGATGGAGATGAGCTAATGTCAGCAACAATGCAGCATATGGACATGGGAGACTTGGCTTCACAGGGCAGCTCTGCTAAATGTTTTAAGTGCTCTAATCTACCCCTCCTTCGGCTCATGTGAGCCCAAGAAGATAAAAGAGCTGATAGGTTTCTTTCTATTCTTTGTGCAGGGTAACAAAATCCACTAAAATCATTTCACACAGGAGAATAAAGGTTAAAGTCAGGATCAGATTTAAATGTCTGAGCAACAGTCAGAGTCTAGGGAGTGCAATGGACTGTAGGGGCAAGTGAAACATCTGACCAGGAGAAGCACCATCCATCAGAGATGCTGAGTCAGGCAGGAACCCTTCCCTCTACCTTGAGAGGGAGGGACTGGAAAGCAAAGGAAATTCAAAGCAAATCTGGAGAGTCTGGCAGGTGAAAAAGGGAGAATGAGAACACAGGTGAAGAGGGAGAACAATACATCCACCAGCTACTCCCAGCCTCCTGCACTGGGAGGAGACACACACCAGTTCTGGTAGACCAGCTGCACCTTTACTGTCCAGTGGCTGCCCTGGGACAGTGACAGCCAGGGGTATTTACACAGAGAGTGAGAAACACAACATCTTCCTCGCTGCACTGCCAATCCCTCTGTGTTGCCACAGGAGATGGATCCCAAAACCCATCACATTTTCTGGGATGTGTTTGTGCTGAAGCTTGCAGCAGTAGGGGTCAATGGGACTCTCTGGAAATGCTGCCATCTAACCCCCTGCACACTGACCCTTCCACAGACTGCTCACAGCTCTCTCCTTTCAGCTGCAGCCCTTGACAGCAGCAAAGCTCCTCTACTTGAGTGCTGAATCTCCCTTCTGACCAGCCCCTTCCAAGCTGCAGAGCTCCACCCCAGCTCCTGCATTTGCGTGATTCTCAAAAGAGAACATACTTTTCCTTAAGTTGGGAAAGTGCTTGCCAAATCCAGAGGGAGGAAGGGATTTCATACCAAGATAGCAAGAGAGCTAAAATGGAAAACAGATCAAAAGGCAGTCTTGCAGAACAGAGGCTACATTCAAACTTTTCTTGGCCGTCTAAGATTAAAAAAAAACAAAAGTCTTGAGATAACTGGGATAGCAAAAGCAAGGAGAAAAGAAAACAGAGAGAACTGTAGGAGGTGGAGAAGACAGAATTTCTGATGACTGTGGCAACAACAATGCCTTGGACAGAAAAACCCTATTTTCTTATGGAGGACATTGGCCAAGAAGAACAATGGCACCTGGCTTGTACCAGCCATAGGGTGGCCAGCAGGGCCAAGGAAGTGTTTGTGCCCTTGTACTGGGCACTGGTGAGGCCACACCCCGACTGCTGTGCCCAGTTCTGGGCCCCTCAGGTCCAAAAGGACACTGAGGTGCTGCAGCAGGTCCAGGGAAGGGAACAGAGCAGGGGGTCTGGAGCACATGTCCTGTGAGGTGGAACTGAGGGAGCTGTGGGGGGCTCAGCCTGGAGAAAAGGAGACTCAGTGGGGACCTTCTCACTCTCCATAACTCCCTGACAGGAGGGGGCAGCCAGGTGGGAGTCAGGCTCTGCTCCCAGGGAACAGGGACAGGACAAAAGGGAATGGCCTCAAGCTGTGACAGGAGATGTTCAGGTTGGAGACCAGGAGGAATTTCTTCCCAGAAAGGGTTGTTAAACATTGGAAGAGGCAGCCCAGTGAGGTGGTGGAGTCACCATTGTGGGAGGTGTCCCAGGAGAGCCTGGATGTGGCACTCAGGGCTCTGGGCTGGTGACAAGGCAGGGATCAGCCACAGGTTGGACTCGATGTTCTCAGAGGTCTTTTCCAACCTTAATGACTCCACGGCTCTGGAATGAGGACCTGGGGTTCCCACTGCTCCTATCAGAGCCAGAGGGAGCTGTAACTTGTGTGCTTTGAACAGGACAGACTGGGCATGCAGACAGTGCTGTGCCACTCCATCATGGAGGAAGATATTTTAGCAGAAAAACTGCTCCAGCTACATGACTTTCCCCCTCTCAGAAATGGCAGAAGCTATACTTGGAGGGAGATAACACCACCAGCAGCTGTTCCACTAAATGAACTCAGATCAGAATTAACCACACAGTGACACTGGGAAGAGCAGTGCAAAGCAGACCACAGGCAGAGAGAGGGAAGGGATCAGAAAAGGGCAGTGCTGGTACAAAAGCACTGACTGTCAGCTGTGCTTTGATCTAAGAGCCAAAGCTGTCCAAGTTTGTTCACTTCCACTTCTCTAAGCAGAGAAGCAGAAAACTGCAAGCTCATCTTGCCCCAGCTCACTCCCCAGGCAGCACAGGAACATGCAGTGAGGAGAGCACACTGAAAAGGGGGAGGGATTACTGCCCAGCTCTTTGATTTACTTCATTTTTTTAAACCATAAAACACTTGTGCTGATTTGGGAGTACATCTCTGGAGGGTGGGAAGGAGCCCACCACAAACCCACAGAAACCAGAGGCCTCTGGACACTTCCTCTGGGACTACAAGGTGGAAATAAACAGCATTCCTGCCATCCTCTGTAGCAGCCACTGGGCTTATCAGAGCTTCAGGATGACATACCTGGCCTTCTTTAGTAATAAAGATTATCAGGTCCTGAACTCCATCATCATCCACATCTGGAATCACTGATAAAGGAGTCAGCACAGTATAATTAGCTCCAAAGTCACGGGATTGCCTCCACAGAACTTCCCCTGGAACACAGTGGGAAACAGTCATTAGAAGGCATCTTAGGTTGAAAGGTTATTAATGCTCCTGTTCCAGCCCATCAGCACCACAAAGCAGCCACATTTATGCTGATCATGGAGTTCTTCCTTGCTTTTCTGCATTCCCAATGAATCCCAGTATCCACAGTTTCATCTTACATTGGGAAGCAATCCTAGCTGCCTGCAGGAATGCACCCAAACACCCTGGCACAAAGAACAGCTTGCTTCCCTTGTGCCTTTGGTGAACAAGCTTCCCAGCATGTTCATGGCATGGAGAAGCCTTTGCTGTGGTCTAAATCCCTGCTGCTGTGCACTTAAATCTGCACAGACATTTTGAGACCATAAAGCAGCTGAATTCTGACCAGCGCTGCTGCAGCTCCTGCCAGAACCTTCTTTGCTGCACCTTGCCTCCTGCAGATGTTGCTGCAGATGTTTCCCCACTGACATGACTAGCCACAGCTCAGGCCACATCCCACCTCTCCTTTGTTTGAAGAACACACACACCCCAAACTTATTTGTAAACTGAGGTAACAAAGCTCTGGTTGTTAGAAAGAAAACAGGGGGTGGCTGGTGTGGGCTTCTCTTCAACAGCTCCAGGCCAGTTGAGTGGCTCCATCCATCCACTGCCATGGCTGTGGGCCACTTTGTGGAATTTGCAGTGGAATCTGGCAAGGAGGACACTGCTGGGGGATTTTCTTTCTGATGAACACTTCAGTGTCTGATTAGGTGCTCCCAGAGCAAATGTTTACCCTCCCCTTTACCCAGCATCACACACAGCAATTATCATTTCAGGAATGCAAAGTAATCATCTGTTCTTTGTCAGGAAGGCAGCTGGACTGAAAGCCAAGGAATTACGACTTGATGCCGTCTGCAATAATTTAAGGCAGGCTGTATTTCTAGTAGAATTGCTTCAAAGCTTTTACTGCAAAGCTGAAAAAACCACTTGGATTTGTTACTATGACAACAGATGTGAAGTGAAGAGAGCAGATTTCCTAGTTTCCTTACAAAATCATGAGAAGGCAAAGAATTTTGCCCTCGAAGAAAATAAGCAAGCAGAGGAAGAAGAGAAGTTTTAAATTACCACATTCTAGCTTCAGGACTGTCCAAAGGTAAAGAGTAAGACCAGGCTAATGAAATTCACTTGTCAGTGAATTTCTAGGCTCTAATTTTCCAGGCTCTAATCTTTGGTGGTTAGACAGCTGACAGAGTTTGGGAGAAAATATCTTATTCTCTTAAAAGAACAGTCTGAGTAAGAAAAACAGGTGACACTGAGCTGGATTCAACACCAAGCACTTGAGAAGTTTTCCATGCTCTAACCCAGCCCAGGGAGAGCACAGAAACCAGCTCTGCCCTGCTCCCTCAGCAGGAGATGGGACTGTCATGTCTGACATCTGCAGTGCCACGGCGCTTCCTCAGAGCCCGGGGTCACAGCGACAGGAGCCAAGATGGAAATCAGGCAAGTGCCCAGACTGCAAATCTAACCTGGGTGAAAGGTTGGATTTTTATGGTCTGGAAGGAATAATGAAATCAGAACTCAGAAGACTGAGCTCAGCTCTCACTTCAAGCAGACGCAGAGGACACAGAAACTTTTCTCCCTGTCAGATGTTCTCCAGGTTGGAGTTCTGGTTTATTTATTTAGTGATTTCTCAGAAGCAGTTCCACCATCTGATCATCATGGTGCCCTTTCTGCTCAATCCCTCAGGAGACCAGAACCACCCACAGGGCTCACTGTTGAGGCTGCTGGAGGATCAGATGAAGAGAGAAGGTGTAACAAAACTCTTACTCCTGTCCTCTCTCTTGAGACTCTGCCTCAGGCTAAGGCAGAGATGGAATAATGCACAGCTACAAAGACTTTTGCTTTGACCTGGAACAGTTAATCTTAAGCTCCTGTGTGTCCCAGTTTGCTGGTAAGATAAACATGCAGGAATGTTAGATGTCCCACACAAACAGAAGCATGCACTCCTACACTTCCCTTCCTGCCCACTCTGGTCACTCCTTGTGGCAATGAAGAAAGCAGGACTTAACACAACTTCAACGGATAAAAAAACCACTAAGTTTATCAGCATTTGAAGATCAAAACCACATCAGACACAGTCAGATGATAATCTGCCTATCTCTCCTTCAATCTTCCTACAGGCAGGGGCTAGACAGCCTGAGAGCCCTGGAATCTCACCAAATCCTCCACCATGATGAATCATTAACAGCTAAAGATTGTGCTGGCTACTGTTTTTAGCACACTGTGATGTAAGTTAGACTTTGCCTCTTTGAATACATTTAGCCTATTTAAATACATTTTATTCTGCTCTGCCCTGCTAACCCCCAGTCAGCTAAGCTCAGAAACCATTTTTAACCTACTTAATAGCAAAAAGGCATTAAATACATAAACTCCTGGGTTATTCACTTTTCTGTCTGATGCATTTTTTCCTCTCTTGCTTTGAAGTTATCTATGGAATGTTTTCTTCACTGTATTGCTGTGACCTGTAGCTTAGCCTGGCTCCTTCTCTCCACACTTGCCTTTATGGCTGTCTTTAGTTACAAGCCTTTGGCTCCACAGCCAACTTTCTACACTTTGACCTGAAAGTAACTACTTCATTAATGGTCTAAAATTAACCTGTGCTAAAGCCTGCACATGAGGGAAATGGTGATAAGAGGTCTCTGCTGGTACAGAAACTTTCTAGCTCTGTGTGTATCTGCACTTCCATCTATACATTAGAAATTAAAAGCTACACCTGATTTTCCTCAGATTCCTTAGAGCTGTACCTCTTGCTATTTCTTTTTTCAAGTTTTTGGAAAACAGGGTGTGAGGGGTTTAATACCAGATACAAAGGATGGGATCCTAGGAAGAACATATATTGCTTAGACCTTTGAAATAGTGACCTCCAAAATGGAAATGTATTTTAGGCCTCACCAGCAAGGAGGGTTCAAGGTGCAGCAGATGATCACTGTTCCTAAAGTAGTACAGGCACTCCTTACCCCCACCCACGTTAGGCAAGATGATGATGATGAATTTCTCCACCTCTAAGTTTAGAAAGGAAGAAACCTTTCCAGAGGAACTAGGCAGAATCGTAGACTACTGAAACAGACTGGCAAGCACTTATCCCAAGTGCTCTCCTTGACAACTTTAAAATCATGAATGCCTGGAACTCCCACTCCCCCTGCCACAGCAGGCACTCCTGGCATGCACACACAATAACTGGGGAACGTTGCAGGTGCAGGTTTGTGTCTAACCCTGGGGAGTATCAAGTAACACAGCCAGTGACTGCTCCTCCTGCTTCAAAAGCTGTTGGAACGTGGTCTTATGAAACAGTGGCTGGCACAAACCCCCACCAAACCTTTGGAACAGCGAGGCTGAGAGCACGCGCTCCTCCACGCCCAGCAAGCAGCCCTGGCAAGGCTTCCCAGATAACAAACACCCCGTGCCATTGTTCATGTACCAGCCAGTCACGTCAGGCTGACGTCCCCCCTGGGGGCCACCAGGTGAGGAAAGCAAGTGGCCTGTGTGGCAGCAGGGCTCTGCAGGCACTCACCTGTGCTCAGGCTGATGGCTCTAAGGGACAGGGGCTTCTCCACCACCAGGCAGCCCGGGGCTGCAGCCGTGCCCAGCTGCTGGATGCCACACTGCAGCCCCTGCACGTCCTCTGCAGCAGGGCTCTCCCAGAGCACGCTGCCATTCGTGCCAGACACCGCGGCGAGGAAGGCACAGGGAGACGGCAGCCCTGGGGACGAGAGGGATCAGAGGGAGCTGCCCCTGCAGCCACCTTGGCTGCCCAGCAGCACCCAGGAGCTGGCACTCGCCCAGCTCCTCTCCCCATCCAATTTTCTCTCCCAGTCACTAACTGGCACTGGAAGAGAAAGGACAGCCCTCACTAGAAGGTGTTTTTGGGTCAGGTACCTTCATCCAGACAGGACATGTTGAATTTGTTGCTGCCGTTGCTGGATTTGAAAGCAAAGAGCACATCTTGTACTTTGTCTTCGTTCATGTCTTCTATAGCAAGGAATGGGTAGGGCTCTGAAAGAGAACACAAGCCAGGCTCTGGTGAGGATTTCCTTAGCCCACAGCAGAGAAAGCTGGAGCAAAACACAAATTCCTAGAGACCTACTCACTGCCTCCATCCTGGACAGTGTAACATCAGGACAAATTGCCTTTTATATTAAAAAAGTCACATACACAAGTACCAAGGACAGGAAGTTAGTGCCAAACAATTTTTTCAATTTGCTGTTCCCCAGAGGATGTCTTTTTTAAGAGGCAAGCAGCCAGAATTTGAACTATGCTGAACAAAGAACAACTGTGATCTTGGAGTGGGGCTGCTATTCTCAAAGTATAAAGAAGCCCCACCCAAGCCCCACAAAACCCAGATACTCCATCTTCCTATCAGCTGAAAGCAGTTTTCCTGAGCTCAGAGTAGCAGCACCTGGGGTGTCTGCAGCACCACACGCAGCTCAGCCCCTGCTGTGAGCACTATCTCTGCATTTACAGCACATCCAGCACAACCTACTGCACACAAGATTAAGAAAAGCTCTCCCAGAAGCGACTGGGGAGCAGGACCCAGCCTGAAGAGCCAACTAAAACACCAGAATAAAAATAGCTATAATAACTACAGAGCAATTTATTTAAAAAACAAGATGGAATTATTCTTCTTCCCTTCCTGTTGGCCATGGGGAAAAGGGAGAAAGTCAAAGTGACAGAGATAAAAATGCCTAATTGCCTCCAACCTCAGCTCGAACTCCAAAGGAACATTTTAAAGAGAAAGCATCAACAGAGGTTTCTTCCCAGATACCCTTTCTCTCTTTTTTTAAATTTTTTTTGGGATTGAGGCCAGCCTGCTACCTTGTTACCACTTCAGAGCAGCCTCTAATTTCTGCACTAAATCCTGTAAACACCTCCTGGAAGGCCACTCCAATTATGATGGGCCATTGCTTATCCAGGTCAGGTACTCACAGCTCTGGCTCCCAAGGGCTGCATCCCTGCAGGTCTGGCTGTGCTTAGGTAGAGCCCCACAACCCAAATCCGTGGCACAGAAAGGAAAAGGACTCTTGCTAAGTATTTGTTCTGCTGCAGCAAGCTCACCTGCATTGTTGTAGTACTGGAACCATGTTCTTTCTGAAACTGGCCTCTCTGGGCAGGGAATGATAAAGGAGAAAGCAAAGACAATGATCAGGCAGAGGAACAGGGAGATGAAGAAGGCAGCAGTGCGCCACCGGGACAGCCGGGACAGCCCCGAGGACTTGATAATCCTCCTCTCCACGTAGTGCTCATGGTTCTCCTGAGCTTTCACATCCTCAGTCTTCAGAGGGTGGATCTCAGCTTCTGAGTCCTTGTTATCCATCACAGCTCATTCATCAGTATTCAGACACCCTTCTCCCCCTTCACCTACAACAATGGAAAAAGAAGTTAAAGTACATTTTGAAATATATTTTAAAACCAGCAATTAAAATGTTCTGCTACTACCTGATATTCACACTGGAAACATTTAATGAGAGGTGAGCAAACCAGTGTATTGTCACAGAGCTGGATACAACACACTGCTGGTGCTGGAGGTCTCCCACACAGAGTTCATGGAATGCAGGAACAGCACTAATTCTTCCCCAGAGGAGCAAATCAGCTCTGCCAGAGCTGGACAGAGAAGGCTACAGACCCCACGCAGAAAGGACTGACTGGTCTGCAGGTCTCCCTCAAGAAAAACACCCCAAAAGCTCCTTTTGTTGCAAAGACTTGTTGCCACCTCCTGTGCATGTCAGCCTGGCTCCCAGCTGGAGAGGTGAAAGGAAACACTTGTGACCTTTATATCCCAACATAAGGCTGCTCTCCACTGTAAATGTGCACTTGAGCTTCCCCAGGAGAGGGAAACAAACACCAGAGTATTCTGTATAGGAGCAAAACAAAGCTCTTCAACACCTGCTGACATGAGAAACCACTGGGTAAGTTCAGCAACCCACCCCTGCAAAAGGCAGGCTGCAGAAGGCAGCCCTGCAGAAGAAGGAGTGATGACTTCCCTCCCCAGAGAAAGAACAAGGCAGGAGCTGAGACTAAAATCAGGCAAATCTGATTTCATCAGAGTGGAAGAGTTAACAACTGCTGTTTTAGCTTCTCCTGCTATAAATCATGACCTTGGGCTACAACTACAATAAACAGAGGGGTTCTGGGCTAATTTGCTACAAAAAGAGCCCTAGTCAGTTAGAGGAGCCTCTAAGTCATTACCCACAACAACAGTAAAAATCCATGTTTTACACAGATTCTCTGATAGTGCTTCTTTAAAAAAATCCCACAAGGGAAGAAATAAAGAATAACACATTCCAGTAGGTTTGGAAAAAGCTGCTTGACAGTGTTATGAAAAGTTATATCAGAGTAAATACCCATGACAACCACGCCAATTTTCCATGACTCTGCCCCAGCAGTCACGTGTTTGGGTTGTCCACTGCAGCCATTTACTTCCCCAGCAGAAAAGAGCTTAAAGTCAGCACCAACACAGTGCACAGCATGGGATTTCAACTCCTGCAGCAACAGGGCTCACTGTGTCTCACGTTTCTACCCAAGCTCATTTACAGGTTCTGTGAAACACAAGATGAGTCACCCTGGGGAGGCTCAGCTCTTCAAGCAGCTGTGGCTCCCCAGGCTGTCCCTGTCCCACTGCAGAGGCCTCTTCTCTTCTGGGCACAAATCACAGGGGGACAGATCCACAGCAAGGCAACCCTGAGGCACAGAATCAGCAGGTCAGCCTGGCACTGCCAACCCTTAAACCTCAGAGCCTGCTGCACTTAAAAGCACTCACTCCCACCTGAGCACTCTGGCATTTGTTCTACATCAAGTACAGGATGTCACTCCAGATAATTTAATTCCACCTGCACAATACCATGCAAATGAATCAATAATGCAGAAGTTGCATCTTATTCCAAAGATCTTACTCCAAGGATTTTATCTGTCCTTCTTATCAGCCTACCAGCCACACCAGGGACACCCACACGAGCCTGGCTGTTCCCAGACCAACAGCAGGCACCTGATGGGTAGGAAGGCTCCAGATGGAAAGGGGAACAACAGATCAAGTGGTGCTTTCAGCCTCTGCCCTGAGCTGAGCATTGCTTTTAGTGCACCAGGCCTTGAGCAGGTTCAAGGTACAAGGATCCAGGCTCAGGCTGAGCAAATGATTTACTGGCATGGGGCAGCCACGGCCACAGCGATGGGGACAGTGGCAGGAGGGAGTTATGGGACCTCCCCTGTGCTGGGCCAGCTGGCTCGTGTGTCCCTGCAGCGCCCATCTCCAGCAGCATGGAGAGGGGACCCTTCTCAAAACCAGCCCCCACAGCATGGGCTGCAACAGGGCTCCAGCACAATCCCACAGCCTCCCCAGCAGAGCCTCCACAGCCCCCAGTATGGAGCTGGGAAAGATCCAGGTATGGAGCAGGAAAGATCCAGGGCATACCAGCACCCGTGAGACTTCCCAAAAGGAACCAAGCCCGGGTTTCTCCCCTCTCTGTCCAAAAGGGACACCACCTAACACAGCACTGATGGCATATTTTTATGACTCACTATAAATCTCAGCACTGTCATCTAGACTGGGATGAGAACACTAAAAAAGTAGTAATTATCCTGACAACCCCAGTAATTCCCCTCTTTTCTGCAGCGATGACCCCACGGAGCCACCGAGCACAAAGAGCCCTCAATGCCTTTAAAGCAATTCTCTCTCTTTTCTTTCAGGGTTTGAATAATGCCCTTTGCACCCCTGCCAGAGCAGAGGCGGTGCCAGAATGAGGACCACGAAGGTCAATGGCCAAGACTCAAACAATGCAGGAAATCCCAGTGCTGGCTGCTGCCAGAGTACAAGCTGGCAGCATGTGCAATGCCCTGAGCTCCACAACAAAGAGGGCTGGTAATCAGTTTAATTGAAGACAAGCAGAAAATGATAGTGTGCATCTGAGATGGTTTTACTGTCCTCTAGCAGCTGACATCTCGTCTCCTGCTGGAAGAGGACACAAAATAACTCATCTGGGAAGTTCAATGCATCCAGGCACCTTTCAGGGGAGCAGCAGTGACAGGATTCTGTGTTGCTGCAGTGTGACACACACTACCTGCAGTACATCTGGGGACAGGAGAAAACATGGCAGAAAAACCTTGTAGAATTAGAAATAATTAGAAATCACATGTGACAAACCCAAACTGAACCCACACAGGCCACAGAGTGTGGCAGCACAGCCAGGATCTGCATCTCAGACTCAGCTTTAAAGCTTGCTTCCCCCAGCCATGGGATGAGCTGGGAGCAGTCCCCAGCCCAAGGAGAGGGGGAACAAACACCCCTTCCTGTACCACAGCAACAACAGGGACAGGACAAACACAGCTGTACTCACCTTCACTCTCCTGTTTCTTGAAGCCACAGTGCAGATTTACAGATCTGATCTGCCTCAAAGCAGCAACTCTTGCACAGCTAAACCCAGGGGACAAACCATCAGCAGCAGCCAGACAGAACTGCTGACAAGCACAGAAAGCCACAGACAGTCAGGTGGATGAAGGCTGGTGACAGAAACCATTTAAGGATCCGTGCACTGGAAAGGTTTAACTCATTTTCCACTCATAAAACACCAGAGCACAGCATCTGGAATGTCACCAGGCACCAGCTCTTGCCAGAAAATTTTTAGCAATATACTGTAACTTAGATTTGATGTTCAACACATTTTTATCTTCCACAGAATGATGAAATCAGGTTCTGACTGGACATTTTAGGACCTCGAACACAGCATTTGGCTGGTTTGGTTCTGTTTGGTTGGTTAGTTCAAGCATCTCAGAGGTTTCCTTCCTGTCAGCCAGAAATTGTTGAAGCCCCAAGCTGCAATCAATAAAGACAAACCAGCCAGGTTTTGCTCTGAATAAGATGCAACATTCCCATCACAGCTATTTTCCTTGAGCAGACTGTTGGGTTTTGATCCCAGGCACACTGTGACACTGCAGCAAACTCACCTGCTGTGACATTCAGTCTTGGGTCATTTGTTCCTTTTTCTGCAGTCCCACTTACATCAGGCCAAGAAGAAATAACATGTAAGATTTCCCAAAATGAGCTCTGCTCTCCCAGAGACACTCAGGCTGCATGCTGCACTCAAGCTTATCATTTTGCTGGGTCATCTGCAGCTCACAGCTCCTTCCTGACACCAGGTCACAGCCAGGGCTGGCTGGGGACACTGACCCGAGGAGACATCCCTGTCTGACAGGGCACCTCTGCTCCTGGCACGGCCCTGAGGCCTTTCTGAGGACACAGCCTGTAATCCAAACCCCACCAGCCAGACTGGAGTGGCCCTGGCACAGGGTGCCCAGAGAATCTGTGGCTGCCCCATCCCTGGGAGTGGACAAGGCTGGGCTGGACAGGGCTTGGAGCAGCCTGGAGGGCTGTCCCTGCCCATGGCACTGGGTGGAATGAGATGAGCCTTAAAATCCCTTCCAAATCAAACCATTCTGGGATTCTCCTGCTGGAGCTGTCCTCAGGTTCTTCTGAAATGACATTTAACCCTCCAGTGCAGACAGAGTGTGCCACAGAGCACTCACAGCAACGGAATTAGAAACTCCTCCAGAGCAATGTGATACATCTGTCATTTGTAGGAGAAAACTCTTATCCAGGGCAGTTTTCACTACAGACAGGAGTTCAAATACAGAAACTCAAACTGTTCAGAGAAGAGCAAAACAAAACCCAGAATTATTTCCATGAGAGAAATGGGAAGATCAAAACTCTAAGATGAAGAACAGCATTAAAGCTGCGCGGAACTGATTACAGGTCAGGCCAGTAATAACAACTGTGCTGAAGAAACACCAGCCATTTATCATCCCTGGGCTCACAAGCTCCACGGCAGCCAAGCCACTCCTCCCAGCAACTGTTGCAGATCCCTTGTGCCAGCTCCAAGGGCAGCTGTCAGCAGGGAGCCTGGAGCCCCCAAACCACAGACAGCCCCACCTCAGCCACAGGACTCCCCTCCTGCCTCAGAAGCACAGCGACATCCCTCAGTGCCACAGACTGAGCACACAAGGGACTCTGCAGAGATCTCTGTGCATGAAAACCCCCTGGAAAAGGCTGTGGTCATTTCTTGCGGGTTTATTCAGAAAAGTACCTTTTTTAGGTGGGGCACTCACTCTACAAGTCAGAATTCCATGGTGCCTCCTGCACAGCCTGGAGAGATTTATGGCAGTGAGAAAGGAGTGTTCAAAGGCCGGGCTGAATGGGACTTGGAGCAGCCTGGTAGAAGGTACCCCTGCCCATGGGGCAAGACAATCTTTATGGTCCTTCTAACCAAAACCATTCCATGATTCTATGGAACAAGGGCCCTCCTCCAGATGCTGCTGCCCTTCACAGCCACCTTCAAGAGAAAACACTTTTCCCCCCCCAGAAATGGAATTTTTCTTTCTGTCACTCACAGGCACACAGAGCAAAGCTCCCTCATCACACATCCATCCCTGGGGACCCCTGAGCTCCACAGGCAGCCCAATCCTGCCCAGTCCCTCCCGGCAGGACGGGCTGCCCCTCTCTCCCCCAGCTGTTACACAAGACATTCCTGCCTTACAAAATAAGGAGAGAAGGCTGGAAATGAGGCTGGAGTTGAACATATTGCAGTGTTTTCGTTTCGGCAAGCAGCCCTGCAATTCCCGGCTGCAAACAGGCGTGTGGGCTCGGAGGGGAGGAGGAGCAGGGCTCTAACCCTGCCAGGAGAGCTCTGCACGGGCGAGGGGCTGGCCCTGGCCCAGCACAGCCCCGCAGTCGCCAGCCCGGCACAGGGCAGCTCGGAGCACAGGGGGCAGCCCGGGCTTGGGAAAAAGGGTGAAATCCTCTCCCAGGCTCCTGGCTGCGGTGTGCGGACAGCTCTGGAGCGGCCCAAGGCGGGCAAACCCCGCGGGGCCGGCAGGGAAGGCCGCGGGCTCGCACCGGCCCCG